AAAGGTATTGAGGAGAGAAAGAACGATCAGTGTTACCAGTAGGCTTGTGTTTGTTTGAGATGGGTCCACACTTCCACTAGAAATTTGATTTTGTGATGTTTTTCAAGTGGAAGTTTTGATCTGAATGCTTGTTTATACTAGGTTACTATCTGACCATTTTACACTGATTTAAGTTCTTATGAGTTATGCTGTATTTTTGATCTGGTTTTTACACATGTAAGATCCTCAGAAGACTAAGTGCAAAAAAACCTGCTTCTAAACAGTGTATTACATTTAAAATATAAAATTTTAATAGATGGGGTGTTGTTCTGTGGCTTTACTGTGTGCACCATGCAGTGCCATTGACATCAGTATAATCCCCCAAGTTACATCAGAAACACACGTATAACTGCAGAATGTGGATCTTGAGATAAAATCTGAAAAATGCCCTTTATGGAACCAGTTTATCTACTTTCTTCCTTTCCCTCCAGTTAGTATGTAGATTACATATTTAAAATGCAAGCAGTTCCTAAACAGAGTTAAGTAGATGGGAATGAACTAGGTGCTTTGTTTGACCTGAGGTTTCTGTCATGACCTGAACAGGGGTTACTTGTTTAGGCTTCAGGATCATGGAGGAACTGAACATTTGCAGAAGAAAATAACTAATTGTGTAGCTGGATTATTCAGAGTATCTCTTGGAAATAAATAGTAACAAATTAAGGGGAACTTCTAAGCCATGTATATACAGAATGAAGTCCCAGAAACCTAACTTATATTTTGAAATGTGCTTTTTAAAATACATGAAATCTATTAGAAGGTGACAGCATTTGGCTCGTTTATCTTTTGAATGAGAAAATGCTAGCTTTTTTCAATTTTTTTTGCAACTCTCTGAAGTGTCTAGACTTAAATTTTTTTTTTAATAGGATGCATGCATTTTATAACTGTGGTCGGTGATGTTTTTATTAAAATGTTTCCAATAAATACAAAAAACATAAAAGTTTCCTCTAACTGCATATTTTTATCATTAATAAAAATGTTAATGATGGAAAAATAGCTGATTTCATTGTCTAGCTGTGAAGTTCATTGCCCTTTCTGTGTTTATTTTGGTATAAACGGCCATCTACAAATTAAAAATATAGAAGAGGAGGTGGTATTCTGTATTACTAGTACCTGGTGATAGCTAGAGTTCTGGCTAGGCTTTGATCTTGCAAACTGCTGTGTATGCATTTAAGCTGTGAAGATGGAATTGCCCACATCACCTCAGTGGCGTTACTTAATTTTTGCACACATACCTTTCAGGCTGAAAGGAAGCATATGCTGTGTGGCTTCAATGTATTGTTTTACTAGAGCCTTCCATGTGTGCTGCAGACTTGTAGCGGGAAGCAGATTTAAAGCAGCACAATTAAATACATGTGTGTCCTTATATGCAGTTTTTTCTTCCTACATAAAATCCTGTAGGTCTAATTGTCTTCTGATGAGTATGTTCAACTTTAATCATACAATTCTCTAATCATAAAACAAACTGAGGTTTAAAAAAAAAAATAAAAATGTAGGCAAAGGGATAATGGAAGTTGAAGAATAACTATCAGCTGACCTAATAGAGGACAGACCTGGAACTGCCAAAAGCATTATGTGCAGTTTGCCAGACCGCCTGCTACTGAAGCACCTTCTATCCCTTTGTCAGCCTTGGCTCTGTGCAATAATTCTGAGAACTGAGGGAAGGAAGAGAGAGATGCTGGAAAAAATAGGCATATGTAAGTTGCATGCACTACATTTCCCTACCATTGTAGGGAAAGCTTAAGGGTAGTAAAATAAACTTGAGCTGGAATAAAATAGAGAAGAATGAGGAACAGCATCTGTGAAAACACTGCAACAATGTACAAAAACAAGATGCTGATTTTAGGTAATTTCACAGTGGTGTAAACCAGCCTATATCCCTTACTAGTTTTGTTTCCAGCATATTGGTTCTTTCAGTTCATTACATGATCATAGAAACACACGTACTAGCATGGGAACTTGTATGTTTTAAAAAGAACTAGTAGTCTGTGGATAAGGGATATCTCATGGTTACTTCAGATTGTATACAGCTTGTATAGTCAGTGCAGGAACAGAACTGCATGGCTGCAAGGAAGGATAGGGGAAATGTCATCACTTCGAGCTAGGGAAGGAGGAGCAAAGCGGCCTCCTTGGAGGACAGCTGTGGGTCAACTCTGAAATAGGAGGAGTGGCTCTGACAGAAAGAAATCACAGCAAGAAGCGAAGGAGAATGAACGAAAGAAAAAAAAATAGTGTAAGAAGAAACACAGAATCAGAAAGGAGTGAGAAAAGTGAGTTAACTTCTCTTTCTGAAGTTATTTAGCCCTTATGTGTGAAGCTGGTTTAATAGAGTAGAGTAGCAAGGGTATGCTTGTTCTTTAAAGCAGTAATGCTGGTTTAAAAAAGATAATCTCCCTGCAAGGCTGCGCTTAAGTCCATCCAACCCGTTATCCTGCTTGATCAGGAATTGTTCAAGTGAGAACTTGGGGAAATGCAGTATATGTAGAGAAGTCTTTCTCCTTATTTTCCATCTCAGCAGTTTTGGGAAGTGGCATTTTTCCATAATACAGTATTGAGGTAAAGATCTTCACAAAAGATTTCGCTCGTTCTGTATTGGACATCAGATATTTTTGAAGTATTTATTTACTTCATGACAAGATAGCTGTACTTTAATATCAGACCAAATCTGGATGCTTGCTTGCTTGTCATTGTATGAAAGGCTTTGGACAGCACAGTACACAAATTGTCTTCAAAACTGGGAAGCGCTTGTTACATTCTTTAAAGCAAATGCTGCAGTAAAACCCACAAGCTTTCCTCACCTTAATCATCTTTAGAAACGTTAGCACTGGAAGCAACAAAACAAGTTAACTAACCTTTTAAAGCTATAATTGAAGCTGGAATTGTTTTGTGAACTTGTTACATCTCTCAAAAAATAATTAAATCATTTTCAAGTTTGTTAATTTTTAATCTGAAAGACAGTTACTGTAGACCTAACCTTGAGTTGTTTTGATAACACTGGCAAGGATGTCTATGGGCAAAGCTATTTTCATGCATGTGGTTATTCAAGATACCCTCCTAGAAATCATTGTAATATTTAATTAAAATGTTAAAATATTTAATTACTGTAAACCACAGGGGATACCAATATTGTAATTGCATTTAAGATGAGGAAAAGAAGTAATTTGTTTTTCAAATCTTGCTGACTTTATTAGCAGTGGCATCAGCACTTTACCCCTTTTTATTGTTTAAAAACTGATTACCTGAAGCATTACTGTAAAGCAGGATAATATAAAAAGTTAATATGCATTTTAATATATCAAACTAACCCAGTGTGACAGTGTTGAAAAGAATGCCTTTAAACAAACTTAGGTTTCTCTTTGGTACGTTGCTGCCTCAGTATTTGGAAGGGATTATTTCTTGTTAAATGTGGTTGGTTTGCTGTTTCTTCTGAGTACAGTTTGTGATGGGCAAAATGTTTCTTTTTGCATCGCAAGCTTAGTGGGAAGTTTAAAATTTATTTTAAATAATCATGAAAGATACATGACTGATACTCTAAAACCTATTTGGGAATGTCATAAATTGATTTACGCTGTGAAGTTGGTCATATGGAAAAGTATACAATAATTGGGGAAAACTGCAACACAGTATTTGATGGCTTTTAATGCATATATGAGAATATTTGCTTTGGTTATATTAGTGACTGTGCCATAAGCCATGCCACTGTCTGCTCAGTTTATGTAGTCAGGAAAACAACATTTATGTGTATCTATAGCTGGAGGGTGATACAATAATTAACTTGGAGTGATTATACTGGGAAATGAGCAGAAAGGACGACAGATATCTTTTCTTCCAACAAGGCTGCCTTTTGTGGACTGGGAGGGAACTGGTTGTTTCGGGTAGTTGACAGCTAGTATCTTCTGCCATAGCTGATGTTTGCTTATGCTCACATGCATTCAGACAGGAGAGATGGAAGGCAGGCTGTCACTGGTGTGTGTGTGTCTATTAAAGGAGGAAAAAAAAAAAAAAAAAAAAGCTTTGGGAGGCCAATCTGCTTCTACTTCCTGCATTCTCTCCTAGCCAAGCTCACTTCCTTAGTAAGAAAAGAAGCCTAGGTAGATCAGTTTGCCAAGGCTCAAGTTAGTCTTCTGAATTATTTTTGTTGCTTTTGAAAAAGGTTATTTAAAAATAAGATTTCAGAATGGTAAAAGAGGTCTTCCTGGTTTTATGCTTTTTTATGTTTATTTTGTGCAAAAACTCCTTAAAAAAAAAAAAAAAGCAATTGCTTTTTTTGTGTATTTCATTCTTTCTAGCAGTAGGATTTAAAAATGTGTCCGAGCTTAAACTACTAGATGGTTATTTTGTGACTAAAAAAACCTGTAAGATTATACCCGCTACATAAAGAAATATTACAGTTTAAAATTGAACTAATTATTTTAGGATCTTTGTAAAGATGTATACAGATTTCATTCATGAGTTGTCTGCTCCTACTCACAAAGGTAGGCATTTACATGCATCTATCTAGCTTCCAAGTCTGGCGTTTTGTTATGAAGATAACCAGCATTTGATAAGGTACCAGTTATTCTGGGGTCTCCTGTGATGTAATTAAATATGGATTTCTTTGTCTATGTTTTCTCCAGATGCAGGGATTTAGTGTTCTTTTCTGCTCTGTGGTAAAGACAGTTAGTAAAGTAGTTTTGACTGTTGTTATTAAATTACACATTGAGTGAGCTCAGAATCATTAAAAGACATCAGCTTAAGCATAAGAGAAAATACAAATGCTGAAAGTGCAAATATAAACCCTGAGATAACTTCAGAAACACAAGAAATTTGGACAACTACTGTATTATCCAGTGAAGTTATGTAAATATCTTGCTTCACAGCTGGCATCCATGTGAGCGTTTCTTTAATATTTTGATACTTTGTGATGATGTTTGTACTGCTACAGCAAATTTACCTAGAGAAAATGTTGTTTTCTCTGAAATCAGAAAGAACTCTGCAACATGATACTTGACTGCTGCGCTCAGCAAAGAACATATGAGAAATTCTTTGGGTTACTGGCAGGGGTGAGTCCTAATTTCAGATTTTACACTCGATGGTAGATAATTTCTTTTGGTTTACTCTCGTCAAACCAATTTTAATAGAGAAGTAAAACTAATAGTCTTTATTATACTGAAAATGATTATATTAATTGATTGAATTAGCATCTGGATTGTAACAAGCACAGTGAATGCCAAATGAGAATTCATTTTCTCCTTTTAATGCTTTTTGGCCTCCCATTTTTCCATTACAGTAGAGAAGTAAATGGGAGGCCAAGGCATTGATACTAAAAGAAGTTAAAAGTGTTGTGAGTTACTGGAAAGATCCTTTTCTTAATGCTAACAGTTGACTTTAGAGACTCTTCTTTCAGCTGCTTAGTAGATTTTATTTATAAGACAAAGCAATAGTTGCTGTCCTGGTTTTCCCTGTTTTGTTGTCTTTCAGTAAACATTTAGCATCTTGGGTCTTTGGTGTTGTTTTCATTTTTCTCAAAATAACTACAAATGTAGTCATGGTTAATTCCCTAAGCTCTTCCTATCTCTTGCATTGGCAGAGCTGACTCGCTAAGTCAAATAGAGTAAGCAGTTCTGATGAAAGGAAGTGTTTACTTCCATTTGCAGGTTTTTTTTTAATTCAGTATTTGAGGAAATATTTCTGCTGATATTGTTATGAAGCACCAGCCATTTGAATGTGGATGTTAAAAAGCTATAGGATATAACTGTTAATTTCTTTTTAATTTAATTTTTAATTTAATTTTTAAAAATTAATTTAATTTTTAATTTTTTTTAGTGTTCATTGCAGTGTTTATGTCCAAAGTGTCTTGCCTCTCACTGTGTTCCCTGCTGCCTCTCTGGTCTTAAATACCCTCTCAGTGACATCATGAAAAAAGTTGTATTTGAGGGGTTACGCCCAGTGAGAATACTGGATGTATAGAAGTAAAATAAATTGCTGAATCATTTGCTGTAGGTCAAAATTATTAATTACTACTTTGCAATGCAGATGAGTTCCATGCTCTGACAAACTGCTGGAAGCAATCAATTGTATCTGTTTGGAGATGTTTTCTCTAAGTATTAGTTTTTAACAGAAGGTCTTGTGATAAATATTAGCAGCATTACATTTATACTGCATAAGTCATTTATGCATATGTTATTTGCATGTTTAATGTTTTGCTTAATCTGGTTGTTTAAATTGTAAAATACTGTTTCAGCGTTTCTGCATGTTAAAAAAAGAATATATGGAATCCTTTGAAGCTATTTTCAAGGAACAGTATGATACCATTCATCGTTTGGAAACAAACAAATTAAGGAATGTTGCCAAGATGTTTGCTCATCTGCTGTACACTGATTCCATTCCCTGGAGTGTGAGTAGAACTGGCTATTGTCAAAGGTTTTTTATTTAATTATTAATCTGTAGTAATTCAGAAATTAGTAATAAATTGGTTTTAGTATTCATTCAATGTTTTGGAACTATTGGCACTTGTAGCAAACAGAATTATTTTAAATGTATTCTGAGATACACCATTGAACATCCTATCCTGTTTCTGTCTCCCACAGTTCTGCATTAGTGGCTCTGAGTTGTTATTTTACAGAGCTGAGCTGGAATTGGTTGATTAAAATGTACACTTTTTTAGCTAATCAGCAGTGTAATTAGCTGTCTCTAAAAAAGTAAATGTAAAGAAATCATCTAAAATTAACTTCATACAGAAAATTTTCAAGCTTTTTATATGAAACTTTAGAAATAATTACAATTCTCTTTTCCTACACTTTTATTCTTGTTCGATAATGTAATCTAATTGACATTCTTCAGGCACACACAAATTAATCCAAATATCTCACCTCTTTTAGAACACCCATTTCAAATCTTAACTTTCCAGGAGTTCTCACACCTGTTTTTCTTCCACTGACTTTTCTTGGACAGGATAAACCCTGAAACAATTGCTAGTTTAAAAATGATCAGAAATTTCTTGTTAGAACGGACCTTTCAAGGAAGAAAAGGTCTTGACTGAGAATTAGTGTGCATTGGTGAACAAAAATAAATAGTCTTTACTTGTTTTTTCAGGAGGCCAAAGGGTTTTAGGCTAAGTTTGAACATACTTTCTTTCATTTGTGTGTTTTTTTCCTGAACATTTTCAGGTTCTGGAGTGTATAATACTGAGTGAAGAAACAACCACATCCTCCAGTAGGATTTTTGTCAAAATATTCTTTCAGGAGCTTAGTGAATATATGGGACTTCCAAATTTAAATGCAAGACTAAAGGACATGTAAGTTGAAGTTTTATTTTAAAAACAGTACGTTGAATTAATTCATCAGAAAGAGTACAGATAAAACCTTTGTTTTCAAATTCAACTCCATCGGTGGTTTTATAGCTGCAATTTTCAAGAATAAGTTAACGTATAACTTTACTCATTAGAGACTTAGAGTCCCTTTAAATTGAATGCTACCATTGACAAGTTCAGCTATGTGCAAGAGTATTTATTTGAAAGCTATATATTTTATTTTGTTTTCCAAAGACAGTACAACTTGTATAAGAATGTGTGAAGTGCCAGTCTGTTAATTTCATTGTTTTGTCAGCAGTAATGAAAGTTGCTGTGGCTGTTAGTTCTGACAAAGTTTAGAAGAAAAGGACCTGATTCTAGTTTTTCTAGGGTTAGTTGCTTGTCCTTGAGTACCATGTCAATAACATTATTTTAAGCGTTTGTGGTTTTTTTAATACATTGCGTTCTGGCAGCGTTCATCTTGGTTGCTAGAGCTGCTTCCCATTAGTTGGGTTGACTGTTAAACAAACTTAACAGATGCTTTAGTTCATGTAAGCTTGAATTTAGACCATCTTAAGGCCCTGTTTAATTTGATCTTTGTCCTTCATGGTCATCAAGTAATATCCTTTACTTTCACTAGATGCTGTGTTTTCACACGTCTGCTCAGGGCTTATCAGGCTCCTCAAACTGTCAGGTTATGACAGTGCATTATTAGACTCTCAGAAGTATTTTGTTAATACACATCACAGATATAAACAAGGAAAGTGTTGAAAAATGCATGAAGAGAATTTTCACTGTGCTGTGTAATATAGTTCCTTTTTAAGTCTATTAATGTCAGTGAGAATTAGTGCTAAACTGGCATACTGATTATTTTAGATGTTTGTTTTCAACAGAACATTGCAGCCTTTCTTTGAGGGATTACTGCCTCGGGATAACCCAAGAAACACTCGCTTTGCCATCAATTTCTTCACTTCTATTGGCCTTGGAGGACTTACGTGAGGAACATTTTTGTTTGATTTAATATTTGCTTTCCTTCCCTGCCTCTCAGTTTAGGAGGTGGGAGAGGGAAGCGGCTTCTTTTTTTTTTTTTTTTTTTTTGATGATATTGTCGTTGTTCCTTAGAGATGAATTACGGGAGCATCTGAAAAATGCACCAAAGATGATAATGACTCAGAAACAAGATGTTGAGTCATCAGATTCATCTTCATCTTCGGAAACAGACTCTTCTTCAGATTCTGATTCTGACAGCAGTAGCAGTAGCTCAGAGTCATCCAGCAGCAGTGACTCTTCATCTAGCAGTAGCGACAGCAGTGACTCAGGTATTCAAGCACTAGCTATAACTATTTATTTACTTCTTGTTTACTTCCATGCTTCTGTTTACTGTTATTGCTACAAACTAGCTCTAGACAGTGTTGCTGTGGTTTATAAATATATTTTTTTTAAATTGCATGTTTTTAAAATACTTCTTTTTGCTCATATAAACTTCTTTCAGAAAACAGAAGATCTTAGTCCCGTTTTTAGAGATTTAAATACTTGAGGAACACTGTTTTATAGAAGAGTTTCTTACACAGTTGATGCTTGTTGCACAGAGCTGTCTTTTCAGTCTAGTGGAGAACGGAGGGGCCAGTATTAATATCTCTATGGGATGCTTAGTGGGGAACTCTGGTACTAACATCTGATTCTTTTTTCAGCTGCTTAGTTGAGTGAGCTTGATGCTCCTAGTATCCTCTTCTGTAAATATGTACCCTGTTGTGGATCAGACACAACATTGGTCAGTTCTAGCAATGAGTTTTGTTTTATTCTATTTCTTATTCTTCATTTCTAATTCTTCCTCTGGAAGACTTTCTGTGTTGATATAGTGAAGGTTCTTGCCTTAAGGGAAATCTTCAAGGATGATTCAGCTTTTGCTGATAACTTAGTATTATGTAGTTTCATGTTGTAATCATTATTTGTTGTAAACATTGCTTAATCTGTGAAGTACTTGCTAGTATGAATTGCTGTGTACAGTCTCTCCTATAACATGAGCAGATGATAACACAGCATGACTTTCTGTAGTTCAGAACCTTGTTGATTCAAAATTAATTTGATTTATTATGTGACTCAGAAATGAAAATGCAAATTAATAAAATAAAAGCAGTGTGAACTGCTTGTGTCTGGAAATGCATTTCTGTCCTCTTGCAATGTTCCTCTACGAAATCTGATTTGCATTCCATCCTAAAGCTATCACATTAATGACAGCAAAGCACTAGAGGAGGGCGCAGTCAAATAGGGTCAAAGAAGGCGTTAGTTCAGCAAAGAGCCAGATGGTTCCTGCATAGACAGCTGCAGCTCTGCTGAGCTGTTTGATAGGAACCAGAGAGGTAAGTCCTTAGTGACAAACCAACTGAGTCTGCAGTCTGATAGTGTGAGCACTTGATTTTTGTAGTCTTAGGACCCTCTCTCTTACTATTTGTCCTTCCTTCATCAAGGCATACAGTCATTAAACTTGTATTTTTATATCTTAGTAGCCCAGTTTCGCTTTTTCTCTGATTTTTGTGTACTTAAATGTCATGTATGGGATACTAATTTGAGATAACTATGCACTTATGAATGTGGGTCAGGCTTGCTACAAAATGAAGGTATTTTACTGGTTATAGCTTGATTTTTAAAAAGCTGCAAACAGAGGGAAGGCTTCTTTACCTTGGTAGCGTTGGGGGAAAAAAAGAAAAGCTTACTGTTCTAAAATGTAGCCAAAGTGATCCATCATTGCATGTAATCAGAGTGCCAGCAAGCCTTAGTTCAGACAGATTAGCCAGCTTTCTGTAGGACTCAGATATTTGATGTACTATTAAATCAATTTATGGCTACAGTATTTTCATAAGGTGGTTAGAAACAGTTAAACATGTGATACTGTAGCTCATACAATAACCATTGTTAACTGTAAGTGACTGCAACTTTAGTGTTCACTGTTTGCTTATAATGCTTTGTCACATCTGCTGAGATAAATCTGCAAATTGTTCATAAAGAGCAAACAGGAAGAGTAAAGTCTTCCTCTGAGATAAATACTGTTGCACGTTCAGAAATACAGATGTTGGTTCATATGGAGGCTGTTTCTGAGGTAGTTATACATTATTTTCAAAAGCCAAGTTTTATTAGACAAAAAAATATTTTCTGTAAATTAAAAGCAAATATTTACTGGTTTAAAGCAGCTACACTGCCTTTGCTTTGCTTTCACTCAGTACCTGTGGCATAACTAAAATATCTGCATATTTATGTATTTTTAAGGACCACTGGGCTTTTATCCAAACATCCTCTTCTTAAACTTGTTAACTTTATATTGTTCTTTAGCATTCATGATGATCTCACTTTTCACTTGAAACAAGTATGTAGGCCCAGTTTAAACTGGGAACTTCTTAAAGCTCTGTAGATGTTAATGTAATGTTATTTCCTGTGGTTCCTAGAGTCAGTAGTCTATGGCCTTTCTTAGGGTTCTGAAGCTGATCTTAAATTGTTGACAAGCTAGCACTATCATTCCTGGAAACAAACCAGAGTCATTGTTATGTTGCTGCAGTACCACAAAGTTTCTGAAGCTGTTTCATCTGGCTTTTCTTTCTCAGGATAGTGTTAAGAGTTTTTTCCCCTCTCTGCTGTTTTTAAACTCCTTGCCTGATAAGCTCTTCCAGAAAGTAATTGGTGAAGTAAACAATTTGAAGATAATGGATGGTCTGGAAAAGATGACCTTTTGGAAAGAAATTTTCTGAGTTTTGATGTATGGCTTTACATCCTGTGCCTGGTCCTTCTATATCAAGTCAGTAAAAAGGTGATGATGTGTAGAGGCTCTCAGAATTCAGGCATTACTTCCGGATGGGTAAAGGATAAAAACCCTGCAGGTGTCAAAGCTACAAATGAGTAGAAGAGGGGGGACGCTTGATTGTTGGAGTTGTGTCAGTATGTAGCACTTAAAATCTGAAGGCACGTCTTGCACGACCTACATGTTATGTCAGATTCCTGTTTAGCATGTTACTCTTTTGGTATGAGTTACTTCATTTATATGACTGGTTAGTAATGTTTTCCTTTCAAGTGCAGGTTTGTTTGTATGTTCTCTAAGTTGAGGAAGAAGTTTTGTTTTGATGTTTGTTAGAGCTAAAGTGGTATGATGTCATGTTCTTGATAACTGTGTAGTCATGGTAAATAGGATGAAGTGTGGAAGATTATTCCATGAGGTCATATTTTCTTGTTTTTACTGTTTTGGATGTGGTGTAGCCTTGCCTGTTATTCACGTGAGGTTTGTGGGTTTGTAACAGTGCAGATGCTGACAAATGCTGAAGCTTAGAGGAATAATGTAGCTGGGCTTCTTAGCTTACACTTCAAGGGAGAACTTTTCTTATTAAAATATGAGGCCTAAAATACAGCCAGACACTTAAAAATAGTCAGAAACTGCTCAGTTAAAAGAATGGGTGGATTTTATCCCATTGCATGAAATCCTTGGTTGAGGGGAGGGATACAAGCAAAGCTGATATTTTTGTAACCTCTGGCCAGATACATAACAGAAGTTGGAATGTTTTTCCATAGAAGTATTTCTTTATAACTCTTGGTGTACTTTAATAGATCAAATAGTTGATTAAAATAGAACCTTATTCCCATAATTTGTTGTAATTTCAGATGCTTCCAAAGCTAAAAGAAGGAGAACACAAAAGAAAAACAGAGAGTCTGAAAAAGCTTCCCGGAAAAAACAAGAAAGGAAAAGAAAATCGCTTGAGAAGAAAGTGGGAAGGAGGCGGCAAGAGGACATAAGTGATAGTGAGAGCAAGTCAGAAAGGAATCACCGAAACATGAGAGAAGCACACAGGAGGGATGACACATCAAAATATCAGTACAGAGATGAGTCTAATGGCAGAGACGATTACGAAGCACATAGGAGAGATGACATATCAAAATACCATCACAGGGATGAGTCTAATGGCAGAGATGATTACCATAGTGGAAGAGATAGGAACTATGAGAGAAGTAAGGATCTAGAAAATAAACACAGCAATTCAAAACTGAAGAAAGCAGAAAGAAGAGCTTCTTTTTCTGATGATGAAAGTTATAGGCATGGGAGCAGAGATAATGGACATCGGAGTAGAAAAAGAGAAAGATCTAGGTCTGGAGAGAGATCCTATAACAAGTCAAGTCCAAGGGAGGAAGAAGACGACCACCGATATAGAAATGGCTCAGAAAGACTTAGAGAGAAGTACAACCATTCCTCTGACCAGTACAGGGAATCCAGAAAATATGAGGATAGACGAGGGGAGAATTCCCCACACAGACGAAAATAATACCTAAACAGTTTGAAATAAATGGGCGTTTCTGAGCTGTTGAAACTGTATTTTAAAAAATGACTAAACTTTCTTTAAAAAAGATTTTGTACAAAGTGGTAGTTTGCATTTGTAAATTTTATCAGACTTTTTCAAATTTTCAGTACTGCTTTTTTTATAACTGTTGCTTTAAGTCTTTCTGTTAAATTCATCCTCTGGGAAGATGAAGTTGTTTATTTTGTGAATAAAACAGTTAAGATCTCAGTGAAATGGGTGTTTCTGTCACTTAATTACAAGTATTCATAACTTTATAGTATAAAACCGTTGGATTTTAACTTTGGCTTCAGTATCAAAGATACTGAAGCTAACGTAAGAATCTCAGATTATACTATAGATGATGCATGGGAAGGCTTTTTAAAAGGAATTACATCAGCATGAGCACTACATGCATTCTATAGTTACATATTCTTCCATCTTCATAAATGTGGAAGTAAGTTTGACCAAAATTTTTTAGGAAAACCTTTGTTTATTTTTTCAAGAGTTAAAAATTGGAAATGCAGTTTTGTTATTTTAAGTGTCACTTTTGAAAGTGTGTCAACTTGTTCTGTGTTACTTTTCACAATGTTTTTTAATGTTATAACATCCTAAGCTTGTGATCTACGCTTGTGATCTTACAGAGAGGAAGAAATGTTTTTGACTGAATCTGATTTAAAGTCATGTGTAGACTTCAGGTGTAGTTCTGAGGGAAATGTTTAAGGAATGTCTTTACTGCTATACTTTAAAAAAAAAAAAGTGAAACATAAGATTTCAAATCTTCTTCGCTTTGAATTGTGTGGCTCGAAATGCTCAAGCTTACTGGAAGCTAAGTTTTACCAAAAACAAAAAAACCCCAGCAATTGAAGATATGGAAGTAGTACTACCTAAGAGTAATTTGAAGCACTAGCTCAACATTCATTGTTTGACTTATAAATCAGAATCGTGGTTAAGATTAAATAAAAAAGACAAGTACAGAAAGTCTTTTGACATGAAATAGTAACGTGGCCATAGTCAGTAGAAAAGACAGGAATGACAGTAATGTGTAACTCAACTCTTAGTGCCATAAAACCATATTTTTCACTTTGCAAAATGAACATAATTTCTGAGCACATGAAAATATGCAGATTTCATTTATGCATTGTATTTCATTGCATGTAGAACGTTATAAAAATGCATTTGAGCTGTTTTGTAACAGAAAACAGAGCAATTCCTAAGGAACTAGACTAGTTTGGGGTAAATCTTGTCACAACATTTTTCTAAGAAAAATGATGCTTTGTATTTCTGTTCTGTGTTTAACAGAATTTATTTCTGCCAGTTTTCATGCACTTAAATGTTTTCAAAGATACTAACAGAAAATAAAGACACACCGCAGAGAAAGATGAAAGTTTAGTGGCACCATGAGGAATGTCTTATTTAAATTGTGATGTGGTTTTGTTTCTGTTCCCACTTCTCATTTTCCAAGGGAATTGTGCATTTTTGATATTTTTCTTTAATTCCTAGAAAAGTTAATTTGAAGTAATTCTTTTTAGAAAGATTAGTGCTAGTAATTATTGTCTGTTTCTTAGTTGTCTACTAACAGTATTAAAAATTACCTGTATTTCGTAATTGTTGTATTGTACAAGCTTAGCTAATTTATCAAGAGTAACCCTTTCTTTACTGTATTGTAGGTTTAATAGCATCAATTTTATGAAACTGTAGCTTTTGAGATATTCTGTACAAATTAAAAGGCTTGTTAATTACATCTGTAATAAATGGAGATGCCTTAAAACAAAGCATCGTTTGCTTAAAACAAACAAATTCATTTGATCTGAAACTGCTGATCAAGAAATGCCAACGTAAACAGCACTTCCAAATTGTTGTGTCGCTTTATACTAGCTAATAGAAATATTGTGCTCTCCAAGGGCAGGGAAAGGGAGAGAAGTGAGACTAGGACTTGAGCTGAGGTCTCGGCTGTGTGTACGGTTTCTTGGTGATTTTTATTCCCAGAAAGATTAACAGATGCTTAATAGAATGAACTATTAATAATAGACCTGATTTTTACGATAACTGCCGGCAGCCGTTCAGCGTTAGCAAAGCAGTAGCAGTCAGCAGTACTTGTAACACATGGCTGGAAGCAGGTGGGTGCCCAGAAGCAGGGCTGCTCTGCAGCAGACCAGGAGTGTCCCCGGCCCTGACCTTGGTCAGCACACGGAGCAAGTTCCCAGTTATTAGCAGGCTCGCTGCTTCCTGAGCCGGAGGCTCTGTGTGCATCCCAACAAGGCCTCACCCCAAATTGGCCTCATTCTTCAATGCTTTTGCAGGGAGAACTGCAGCACCCTGTAACAGGAATTGCAGTATTTACCTGTACAGTATGTGTGAAAGTAGGTCTCTTTCACAGCTTCTGCTTGATCACTTTTGTTTGATATCTTCTGATTTCTTCTATGAATAGCACTGTGCAATTGATTGCCATTTTGTTTGTGATTTTACAGACCTAATTCTGTATATTGTTCTTTCTTTTTTGGTAGTTTAAAATTTATCTGATTAATCTCTCTCCTTTTGAGACTGCTCCATAGTCACGATCATTTTTCCTGATATTTATTTGTTTGTTTGTTCATTTTAATTCTGTGTAGTATTCAAGATAAGGTGTTTTGGAAGTTAAGTAGTGATACAATAGCTTGGTTTTTTTTGAGTGTAGGAGTGATCTCGTTTGATTTCAGTCTATCAACTGCTGCAGAGTTGAATGATCCACTGTGGTGCTGGGGTTTCTTTAGCTAGCTGTAGCTATAGCATATGCACAGCAATGAATAAACTTGTGCCTGTAGCTGGTGCTGGAGCACTACATTGTGTTTTGAGCAGCAGTTCTGGCTGAAAGACTTCAACAACAGATCCTGTTGTATTCTTAACTCTTGTGCTCAGTTGTAATTTCTTGTTAGAAGCAGGATTGATTTAGCCTATCCATAGCTTTCTGTGAGTGCATGTGGTTATGGCTGTGCTATCAGCAGTCACCCAATGCCAGCACAGTGCCTGCTGGGCTGCCTGGGTAATGTGTGCAGAGCTGCTTCAGTCCTGCTGAGCTGCAGGGGAGGTCATAAGCACTCCTCACCCAGGGGAAGATGTTTTGTCAAAATATTTAGACAGTCTCATTATGTAAACTGCCACAGTACCATCTCTTAGTATGAGAGCAGTCAGATAAATTTAGGGCCAAAACCGTCTACTCATTTAGTTAATAGCCATTTAAAAAATATTTTAACTGTAGTTACTGAAATGACTTTAATTGATATTTAAGAATATTGCATCTTCAAACTGTATATAGTTCATTGCAGGCCTGCATGGAAATGTGAATTTGACTTCAGAAACATTTGTCTTATGGCATTGCTCATGTTAAGTTCCCAAATAGATTGCATGCATATTGAACGTTAGATTTAATTCTGAAAATTACTCATACTATTAATTAGATTTAGATGGTACATTATTTTTACTTATGAGTACGCTGTTAAATTACTGCAGCTTTAATGATGTGTCAACCTAACACAATAAGTGAGCTAGAGTGGGTTGGTTTTTAAGCCCAATTTAAGAGCCTCTACATCTTAGAATTTGCACCTTTTGATGACTATAAAGATGCTGGTTGATCTTCATTGATTGTTCTTAAACAGCTTTGAATTGGGAATGAATAAGGAAATGTGATCACCAGAAGGCTCATTGTCTTGGATAATCTAAAAAAGCAAGAATCTGTTATGTTAGCAAAGAGAATTGACTCCAGGTACTTAACACACACACAACGCAGACACTTGTCCTTCAATGTATTTTCAATTAGAGAAACTAGTATTTTTTTAAAAGGCTTTCTTAGTTAGTCAACATGTATATATACATTTTAAAGAAATCATGAAGTCAAAATGCAAAATCGGGGAGTATTTTAGTTAACAATGAATGACACACGTATTTTCCAGGTTAAAAGTGGCACGGGCAAAATACTGCTTTATATATTGGAAAAACAAGGGCACTTGAGAGGTCCTTTGCTTTTTATATTTAGTTTTCTTTTGTGTGTTTTCCTACAGCCAGTCTATAATTTGGCTGTTAGTGGAGTCAGGATTTTCTTTTCTTGTCTATTCCTTATGACTATCATCAAGCATTTTCTTCTTTAACAACAAAAAGGGGAGGAAGATGACAAATTAGAAACTTTCAGTGTCCTGGTAAACTATTTCGTTAAGTCGTAAACACAGAAGTCCATTGAGGGGAAAAAAAAATATAACCTGCCACATACTGATGCTATTTTTAAAGTTTGTTCCTGGTATGTTCTCTTTTTTTCCATTATGGTGTATAACAATGCTTGCACTGACTCTGGTTTCGGATCCTGCAGACAGCCTGCTTGTTCTCAACCCAGTTGGATGTGGGATGTTCACCCCACAGGGACCATGGCAGAGCATGAAGGCCATGGTCTGCCCAGTGTCACAGGGGGTCTTGACCACAGAGTGGATATATCCATGCAGCCTGCTCTCTGCCAGCTTGGGTGAGGACACAGTGGTGAGGACTTGGCTGGTGAGTGGTAACCTGCCTTCCAACTGGGAGCTTTCTGGATATTCTGCATCTTGTTTGGCAGGTGTGCAGACAAACTGAGGGGCTTCGTGGGAAGAAGGAGTGCTGAAGTAAGGACTACTTCAAGTGGGACCTGTGCTTTAATGACTGCTTCCTTCGTTCATCCTTCGTGCATCACCCTTCATGCATCCAAAAGGCTGGATGTCAGATCTGCAGGCAAACGTGCTCTGAGGAGATTCACAGGGCATCTTCTGTTGCTGCACACGGTGCTGTGAGACACAGCAATGCTTAAGAAATAGGAGTTGATCAATAATTGGAATGAGAAACTGAAAGTTAACAACTATTCCCCCAACAACAGTTGGGGAAAAAATGCCCCTTTGCAGCTTTGTTGCTTCCTGCAACAAAACCTTCTCTTCTCCACACCAGAAAGACCTTTGTTCTACCTCTTTGTGGAAGAGAGGTGGTGGCCAGCCTGGTTTGATCCCTGTTCCATTTGAAATGGCAACTCTTTGAGATGCCATCCAGAAGCTCCACACAGCCCACTGTTTGCTCCTCCATTGGTGTGACTGTGGCTATGGAAGAAAGTGCAGTGATCGGTCAGAAGCTGTGCCTGCTGCACTGAAGGCTGTGGTCATGGTATTCCTCGAGCTAAATCTAGCCCTGTGCACACCCAGTTGGTCTATTTCATTTTTGTAGAGCAATTATTTCCTCTCAATTCATTTTTAGCGCTCTGTTTGCAGAGAGGCAGACGCACTGGAAAACTGTTTTGGTTTTGTGCATATGCATGAATGCACACACCTGCATACAAAGCCTTCTATTTTCATTCCCTCTACAAGAGACTAAGATTAGTTTCTTGTAAAGTTAAGACAGGTGAAAGCAATGAATTTCAGCTATTTATGCTCTGTGGAATAATCTTCATTACTATGTTGTCTGAATAGCTCCCAAATAGTTTGCTTTTTTTCCATCCATACCCTGTTAAACAATACAAAATATTGATATTCTTAATGTTACAAAGTCTAAAAAAGAAAAAGCATTAGTTGCATTTTGATGCATTAGTTAATGATTTGTAGTGATGTATGGTGCAGTGTAATGCTGCAAAAGTGGAAAATTGTGTGTTTTTATAATGATAGGCAATTCCAAAGATGATACTACAGATATCAGCATTGTTGGTGTGCATTTTGGTGTCACATTCTGATTTTTATATATATATATATATATATATATATATATACAATTATACTTTCCTTTCCAGGATTATTTAAGTCTCAGTTCAACCAGAGCAGCCAGGAGGAGGCCAGCGGGTGGTGGTCCTGTGGTCTGTGAGCTGCGGTAAAGCACCGACTGCTCTCAGTGCTCAGAGCTCTAGGCATTCCTCACCGTGGGTGCGTGTATAATCAAAAGCTTTCTTCATTTCACAGCATTTATGGGAAGGCTTTATTTCCATAATTACAGTTTTACTGTAGTTTATGAAGAAAATGCAGCGTGAAGACCAATCATTTTGATGATCTGCAGATCAGTTGAAGGAGAGCAAGTTTCAAGGTTAGCTGCAGGGCAGCTGTCATCAGTCTGTGAAATTACCATTTTGAATGACAAGCTTAATTTGCACTTGAACCCTAGCATTGGCTTTCACTCCATCTTCTTCCTAATGACTCCGGGCTCCCAGTTCTGTTAAAACCATTATACTTTTTGTTTTACAGAAAGGGATTAAAGGGGAAAGGTAGGATGGCTTCCATTTCCAAAAGGCTCCTTTATTTTTTTTATGGGGGTGTGCTACAAACCAATATTATGAATTGGGTGTGAAATCTTCAGTTCATTATCAGTTAACACTGATGCCACAAATCTTG